CTCAAATACAGTTATTCTCGGGGCGGAACTACGCCACAAAACGTTCTCCATTGTACCATGCATTTCCAGGGCTCTGTGGGAGCTGCTGTGGAACGTCAGTTGAAGAGCTGGTGAAAACAGCTGAAGTCAAGCAAACAGCACAAACTCAAATCAACTTTGAAGTAATCCTGAGCAACCAAATTTATCCATGTTGCAGATGCAGGGGTAATCTTGTTACACTGTTCAGGGGAGTCTCAGCAACTATCTAAAAGTATCGTTTCTGAGAGTTTTCAGCCTTGTTTTCACTGTTATGGTTGCCAGGTGGTGAAAATGCATGAATGTCTGCCCAAGGATGAAAATGATCTCAAATTTAATGGTTATATACTCACAGTGAGTGACAGGACTTGTAATAAAGTAATATGTGTGTTGCAGACATACGCTAACATAAAGATGAGACAAGACGCAAAAATCCAGTATCCGAAACAAACTCCAAATGCAGTACCCATTAGTGTTCCTTCCCTCTGTAAAAATAAAACACACACATTTATGCAGCACAATGTAAGTAAAAGAAAGCATGTACATGTGACAGGGGAAAAGGACAAATGACTGCATTTTGCTAGATTGTGAGCAAGATATTCCTTTCTTTTAGTGTATTTAATTTGTAATTTTAAACTTTTTTAGGATACTACTTTTAATTTGTAATTTTAAATTTTTTAGGGTACTTTTCATTGCCAAATTGGATCAACATTTCTTCATTATGATAAACCTAAAGCACATATATCAGAGTAGATGGGAATTCAGACATTTGGCTGTCAATGTGTAGAACATAAGCATATTATAACCTTTTAATTTTCATATCTAGTAATTTTCGCTATCAGATAATTTACATGTGCTAGAACAAAATTTGGTTTGTCACAGTGACACTGTGTAATTAGTATGACCACATTGAAATGTTAACTGTTACAAAATTTAAAGATTTTAAAAATTCCAAAATATTGGTCTTAAATTAAAGCAGTCTACAGTATTTCAGTTTCACCTGAGACCAGAATTTCAGCATACAATATGAACACTGCATTAGACTTCTAGGATCTGACCAACTAACCATGATAAGTAATAACCTACCACTACATGTCCTGAGGACTTCATGCCCATCAGTATAATTGCAACCAGTGTAAATATCACCATTAAGGGACCATAAAGTTCACCAAATACTTTCTGGAGATTCAATGAAAAAAAAAAATGAATATATTAATACCTGTAGTGCATACAATGCTACATCATGATACTGGACATAAAGTATTAGCTCTATTAGTAGTACATGTGTTTACATAAATGATGTCCAAAGTCCAAATATACTATACAATATACTGGACACAATATATCGATATTCAAGTTGATGTGTACTTCTATTAGAAATGTTCTTTTAATAGAGTAAATACATTCATGCAAATACAAACACATATGATTTCAGATACATCTGTATCCTTACAAATTTGAGACGAAAATCACATTTTTTGTATAATGAATCATAGAAACACTATTGTAATTTATGTAGACAAACTTTAACGGAATGTGTATTTCAGTCCCAAAACTTCATCTTCGCTAGCCAAGGTCTAAGTTTATTCGGCCAAGCCTATAAACAGACCTTGGGAGATTGACCATATTTGTGACAATAAAATTGCGAACGTTTTCAGTGTTTGTGTCCTCAAGCCATATCGGGTACAGGCAATCGATGCAGTTTTGTGTGGGAAGGATGTCTTCATAGTGACAAAAACAGGAAGTGGAATTTTGTTTATAATTTGGTACGTCCAAGCTGATTGGGCACCTTGTTTCGAGGCGCGCCCAATCAGATCTCACTGCTTAAGATACGCAATTAGCCTATGCGATCCCGTACGGTATCGTGTAGAGGCCAATAGGTTGAAGACACAGGACCGTGCGATTCGGAAGATGCAAAACTTGGACATTCAGGCATGGCTTCTGACTATCTCAGGCTAAGGTTACATGTGTAGTATAGCCTTGAATTAGTTTTGTAAACAAAATCAGAAGTGTCATCAGCTAAGTGGCTGACAATACAGCTATATTGCAAACACTGTTGCTTCTAAATCTGATTTTTGGGCTTCCTGAAAGTAAATTGCTTGCAACACAGCTATAACCTTTTCACTACTAGACATTCTTGCCCTTACTTTTTACATTCTTAAATATTTTTTGGAAATGAACCCTAATTTTGGAGCCAACAGACAAAATTTAAGTGAATTTTCAGTTTTTAATCAAAAATTTGTTGTCCCAATCTTCTGAAGGAAAGTGCAGAATATAAACAGGACTTCGATATAGTGATGAAAAGAGGGAACTGGTGGTGAAAAGGGTATTGTTAGCTAATTAGTAGATATTATTGATGGATAGGTGTAGCAAACAAATATACAGCACACAATAAATTAAGATTATTATAATTTATCACAATGCTTACCTGTGGTGTTCCTGTGACTTTTTGTGGAATAAATGAATGTATCAACCTGTAGATAGAGAGTACCAGAAATAAGTATACAATAACACATATCCATTGTAACATGGCTAATTCTCATAGAAACTAAATTTCTACGAATAATTCTACAGCATAGTTGAGATAAGCCAAATTTTCTATCAAGAAACTACTAGTATGCTTTACCCTAAAGAGCATTACAAAGAAGGGGTTCCAAACTGGTTTGATAAACAATAGAGAATATTTAGCATAACAATGGGTACAATATATTAAATTGCTATGCAAATTAGCTATTTTTTCTATTTTCCTGGGATAAAACTGACTAGATGTGTTATGCTAGCATTACTAATACTGTGGAATACTTTATTTTCGCTGAAAAGGCTTTTTGGGCATTTTGTATGGAATTTATTTTTACTGATTTTTGATGAGTTTAATGTGAAATATAGCGAAAAAAAGTATATTCGCTACATTTTATTTTCACGGAATCATCCCTTCAGTGAAAATAAATTCCAAGCGAAAATAAAGTTTTTCCTCTATTAGGAGATCATCTCCAATGCACATGAACTGAAAATCACATTTTTTGTATAATCATTAAAATATTACTTATTTGAACTATAGAAACAATCCTGTAATTTATGTAAACACACCACATGTGTCACTGATCAAGCGAACATGGTATTTAGTCAGATTAATTAACAACCAGTATTATTATTATTATTATTGAGGTTTATTTCAGATTAAAAAAAATAATCCATAGAAGTTAAAAAAATATGTACACATCAAAAAATTTTCTTGTTCCACACTTTCCATAAAACACTATCCAACAAAATAGAAATGGATAATGCAGCTGTAACAAGTTGTCAGACAAGTGCAAACGTGAAAGAAAACTAAAACACTTCTTCCTAACAATTTCGTCAAACGTTAAAAGAGATAAACCAACAAACATCAAACTATTGCTTTGAACATAAGAGTGTTTAAAACCAGACAAATTTCGAAAAACTTGTGAATGAGCTCTGCGTAAATTACAATAAGACTGAATGGTGTAATTACACCATAAATATGGAACATCACAAAAAGCAGAACAAATTGCACTTAACAGAAAATGATGCAAACTTAAAATCACGAATAATAACATTGCCTCTAACATAAAACAATCTAGTCTTGTTACATATATCGCTATCATCTTTAAGATCAGAGGTTATTAAATGACCCAAATATTTATATAGTATGACAAGTCACAACATAATAAGAATTTGCGTGAAGTCATCAAATTCACGGGGGCAAAGCCACATCACAAAACTTTCTACATTGCTAAGACATGCACCACTGTACCATGTATTTCTGTTGTGGAACGCCGGGCAAAGAGCTGAGCTGGTGAAAATAGCTAAAGTCAAGAAAACAGCACAAACTCAACTTTAAATAATCATTAACAACATATAAATGTTTCATATGTAGGGGTAATCCTGTTACACTGTTCAGGGGAGTCTCAACAACTATCCCAAAGTACTGTTTTTGAGTGTTTTCAGCTTTTGTTTTCATCGTGATAGTTGCCAGGCAGTGAAAATGCCCGGATATCAACACCCGAGAATACCACATCAGCATGTACATATTTAAAAGTCATTGCGAGTTATGTTATTTCTTGAGAACGTATAATTCACAGTAATCTGCTACATATACCATACTCATCTGGCCAGGATTCTTAGCACACAGAATCATATTTTTTAGGGGGGGTGGACGCTTAGTCAAGCACCCCACTCGAAAAATTGGTAAAAACGCCAATTTTTGTTCACCCCATGTGTTTTTAGGTGAAATTAAAATTGCAAAATCTTGATGCAAAGCAATTTCTGATAATTAGCAATTTTTGTAAGTATTTATCGTTGCTCTGTTTTACAGTCACTGTTGAAGCGTGGTTTACAAACGGTTACCACATGGTCTACGCATTCACACCATATTCACAGCAGTTAATAACCATGCTGTATTACATAATATATTATATGATAATTTGGAAAAGTCAAACAATGCTCAAAGACCAGGTTTATACATTTATGGCTAGACAATCAAATTTGGATCATTTTGGAAGAGATGGGCTGAACATGAACCGACATCAGAAATGCCTCAGAAGTAGGGGATGCGTGCTTAGTCCAGCATGGGCACTGAGTCGGACGAGTATGGTACATTACAATCAGTGAATAGATACCTGTCAATTACATCTTTTGGTTCCACATCAAAGTATGGTCTGAGTATGTCTATGTTACCATATAAATTAAAAGCTTTCTGGGCTTGTTGTTTACCTGCTAGCCAAACCTACAACAAAATTGAGTAGATTATATTTAATTGTGCACATCGTTTCTCTGTATTGAAAATATGGTTTGTACAGGGTAACAGATTGACAGATGTTTACTGGATATTCAGTGATGTCTGCTCAATGCTCTGATGGTTTTGTGTTAGCTGGTTATACTTTGTTAGAACTTTATTTGTTAAAGCATTGTGGTTATGTACCTGCATTTAAAAAAGTTTCTGAGCCTCAACAAACAGTAGACAATACAGTACAGTACAGTATATCTTGCATTGATAATACAAGTTATGAAGATACTACTAACCAAATAAAATGATCAGTTCACTCACCAAGTTAGCAGCACTACTACCTACGAATTCACCAGTGGATTTTTCTTCATCTCCATACTGACTACCTGGCGGTGATTTTCTTGTAAATCCTTCACTGCCACCTGTACTTGAATCATCATCATCTAATGTGCCCAAATCAATAACAGCTGATTCCTCACGGGGATGCTGCAATAAATGGTATCACGGAATCAAGACTGCAGAAATAAGTGTATAGAGAATATCAGTGTTCCTCACAGTCCTACTTTATAGAGGGATACATGTTCACTCGTATATTAGCCTTGCATTAGAATTGGTTATATCATGTATAAACTATTTCAGATAATCAATAGGGGTGAAAAAATTAAATACATGTAGTGGTGATTGACATGTTTTTTGATTTCCGAAATGAGTTCTTTTTTAGCCTCCACCCCTAACCTCTAGTGCTACCCAATTTAATTTTATATACTCAGCCTCATAAATGAAGCATACAGATTGGCAATCAATATGGATAACTCAGACAGCCAAAATTGGGTCTATTGTATTAAAACAATTCTCAAAGATCTTAATATGGAACATGAGTGGGAAAATGGAAAGATTAATGAAAACAAATACCTAAATAATATTACTACAGCACTTGAAACAAACTTCAGAATAAACAGTGAAGATTCTCTAAACAATGACAATAAAGGTATTAACCACAGAAATAAACTGCATACCTACAGAAAATTAAAAACTGAATTTGGACTTGAGATCTGCTGACAGTAAATAACCAAACTAAGATTAAGTAAACATGTTTTACAAATTGAAATGAGCAGATACCATAAAATTAACATCACTGAAAAAAGCTGTCCTGTATGTGATACTAATGATATTGAAGATGAAGAGCACTTGTTGCCCCCCCCCCCCACCTCCAGGATATTGATAGCGAAGGGGCAATAAAAGGTAAGAAATCGACATTTGAAACCGACAGGGTGTCAATTTACTAAGTGCCGTGTTTCACAACTTGTTTATTTATATACGTATAGAGGATGATTTTTTTTTAAAATTAGTATTTATTCATTTTCAGCCCCCAAGTGACTGTGTCATAGAAGTACAACTCATGTATCGCAAAATACTGATACGCACATGGTATGACCAATAAATTATACTTAGATACTTACTGTACAACTTCGACTTGTACATACAATTTGCAATCAATGTAGAAAGAGATAGGATCGTTCCAAGTGACACGCCACGTCACTCACTGTCCCAAAACACAGTCGACATATACATAAAACTTCATAAAGATCAAAAAAGGTCAAATGTACACTTATTGTGACTCATACTTTTGTATAGTTTTCAAACATGGTCTCATAGTTTAACTTGCAGATAACCTAATAAATCAAATATTTACCTTTCCGGAATCTGGTCCGCCATACCAACTTTCCCTGGTATCCATTTTGAATATTGTATTACCTCATTCTTCAACTCAAATTTCTATAAATACAAATATTTGTATTCAATATATTTACTTAATTTTATAAACGATTGTTTACATTTTTATGATCTATCATATATAACCACAGGATGAAAATGTTATGTTTCTTATACTTATTAGGATGATTTACCTGTAGGTAAATATTGAGTGTGAACGAGGATGTATACCCTTTGACCCCTTTCCAACATGGCGCACTATTCAAAGGAGGTCACCAATCCATATAAGTACATACTATAATTTACTTTGTGTGAACTGTTTCTACTTTTGGTGAGTATAAATTGAAGTTCGGCTATTTGTGATAACCATCTGTAGTGACACAGTGTATAACGTTTTAATGAGGCGCGGACAGTACGTTTTGACTATAACAATGAAAGGTATGTCAAGTGAAAATAGCACTGACAGTGACATATTGCATTGATCTTTGACATAATGGAAGGGTCATGGCTGCGCATTCGTGGCCTCGGCTCAGTTTAGGGAAGACTGTCGTTGATGTTATGGATCGAACTGCTCAGGTGAACTAATACTCCCTGTCAATCTGCCGTATATGTATTATGTGATTGAATGAACTTGTAGTCTCTGTGTCTGGTTATGTACCATTATGTTAGAGGGGGTGTTACCTACGTGTTGTCGTTGTTTGGCGTCGTATTATATCCGGGCTGGTTCTCTTCCAGAACGTATTCAGACCCAAATGACGTGAATAATAATAGTATGTTTTAAACCATGTATCTGACTTCGATTTCCGTTTTTTTCTGAACATTAACAGAAAGTTACAAGGAATAATGGATTACAGTAGAAAACTGCACAATGGTTTTTCAAAGAAGTGATTAGACATTTATGAAAGGTAAAAATAGTGTTGACTGATACATTTTTACAGCACTCTGTTTTCAGAACTGTATCTCAGGCATACCTTGACTGAGTCTCTTCAGACTTTGCACATATTTAAAACCTAGTCTGTTACATATGTATGTGTAATGAATTTGTGATTAAATAAAAGATGGCCGAATGATGACCATTTTAGTTGTAAAAATACACTATAATCAGGTATTTTGACATGTTTGGTCGCATGGCCAGGTCTCTGGCATGTTTTGACCGATTTTCTGCAATTTTGGTGGAAGGAGTAACCATTACTAGGGGTTTATTCACATCACTTTGATTTGTAAAGTCTATTCATGATTGCTACCTATCAGGTCCCTCAAGTACTGCATCATTATTCCGGAAGCTATAAAATAGTAATGTAAAATTGCATGCACAGGACTAGGAGCTAAATTGTACTGAAATGTGTATTGTTTTGAGACTGAACACAAATAAAGTATGTGCTTCAGTGCAATGCAAAATGCATGTTTTTATTCTAAAATTAAATTTGTGCTTTATAATTGTGATTTTTTTGACAACTTGATCTTTCTGATAAAATAAAACTAGAAAAAACTGCTCAGTAATACTTGTGATGACTTAAAAGATGATTGGTTTCCCTGGGTTTAATTGTTGAACAGCTTTATATCAATAATAATATGTATGTGTTTTGCAGAGTTACTAAGATAATGTCAATGTCACTGTATGATGATGTTATGGAAGTTGATCTCACACTGAGTGACAATGATGACACCGATGATGATGATAGAGTAGTTGAAATCAATACAGTACATGATAGTGATGAGACAATATACGACAGCGACAGTGGGGATGATGCTGTCTTGGTGGATGCTCGATCTCAGTCTTCATCAAGACTTCAACCAAATAGAGTACCGGAGCAACAGCAAAATGAAGACAGCGATGAGACGATTTCCTTATTTGGTGATGATGATGATACTGGGGATGATGAAGTTCTGGAAGTCCCAGGGACAGCCTCTCAAAATACTGTCCAGTCTAACCAAGTGGAACGTGCTAGCCCAATTCCTCCATCAGTTTCACAGTCTGTAATCACTGAGAACAACCCGTCACAATCGCAAGATGAAAGCCAATCAGTTTTACAGGAGACAGAAAGACCAAGTACCAGCACTCAATCGGTAAACAGAAGAGAATCACATGAGCATTTCTCATATCATTTACAAATTGGTAATACTTATCCGGAATTCCAAAGTCCCTTGATGGTAAATGATTCACATTATACAGTGTTTGGCAGAAACCTGGGAACATTATAAACGTTTTTATAAATATATAAAATTTTATAAATTTAAAATAATGTATTTACAAATATTTATAATACGTGTATAAACGAATGTTTCTGCTGCACACCATATTTTACATGCTATACATACTAATTTATAGTGATAGTAAATTGTAGCTGAATTCATTCATGGGTAAATGATTTGTTTACACACTCAAAGGCGAGGTAATTAACACACTAGATGAGTTTCAAGTTCCCATAGTTTTTTATGTTATTGAGTAGGCTCACGACAGATATTGTTTGGCGGGGGGTGTCTCAGCTTTGTCAGATTTGAATGGACATACTAGTACTTGTATGTTGTCATCAGAGACATCTTAGAAATGTGGTGGTGTATGAATGAATACAAAAACTTGTTTTCCTCATTTTATGAAAATTTCGGTACAAAACTTATGTTGGTATAGTGAAATATCTGCTGAAAACTGCATATTCTTTCTGGCCAGAAGTGAATTAATGCCAGTTTGCACAAAGGTACATGTAGCTTTATTATTGTTGTCTAGATCTCGAAGAAATATACTTCCCAAAACCATTCACATACATGCATGCTAGTACGCTACTAGCTAGCACCGCGCTGTGTTTTTAGTTCCGCTGTCGACTTGTCGAGCGAAGCTTATCATATGAGTGATTGTCCGTCGTTGTCCGTGTCAATCTTTTACTTTTTCGACTCCTTCTTGAAAACTACAAGACTGAATGCTTTGATACTTGGTGTATATGTACCTTGGGTAGACCTCTCTCAGATTTGTTCATTTCATGATGATATCTTCAATTCTCTTATTTTGGTGAATGTTTTTGTCAATTTTGGTAAAATGTGATATTTTTGACTTCTTGTTAAAAACTGCAGGTCCAATTGCTTTGATATTACATATATAGGTACTACATGTGGCCCTCTCTCAGATTTGTTCATTATCTCAGCCAACAGGCTGTTTGTTTAAATTCTTACCTACTTTGAAACTGAAACAAAAGGTTTCTATTCGCCGATAGAATAACATTGGAACATTCAAATTACATCATTGCACACTGCGCTCATTGATTGGCTGATTGACAAGAAGCAAAAACAGTATGTGCAACTGCATCAGAAAGAAAATCACAAACCTGACCATGAGAAAAGTGTACTGTAACAGAGATGGGAACATAGTGCTTGTACATGTACTTCAGAATGCTCACTCGTTATTGTTATTGTGGAATATGCAAATTGATTACTGATTCAAAATAGATCTTAAACTAGCTATTTCTGAATATTTCTACGTTTTGAGCAAAGTACTGAGTAAATTTGAATCAGTGTTAAATTTGTGAATAATTATGAATGCACACATAACTAGAATATCCACATTAGTGAATGAAATCGTACAAGAGTGTTGGTATATAAAACGTTCTAAAAGTAAACATGTCATTTCGCTGTTTTAACTCTTTAGTATTGGTTCGTTATCGAAAATGAGTAAAATATTGCGAGTCAAAACATTGGTTTTGTTATCAGTATTGATACTGATCATGTGTATTATCAACTCTAGCAAAGTTTTTGAAAAGTGATATTTTTTTTACCCGTCTCAAAAAATAAGATGGTCAAAAGATATTGTGTGATGTTGTTCGATTAGTGCACCTAAAATAATAGGAGACCATGAATACCAGAGTTCCTCATATAATATTCATATTTTGATAAAATATTGCCACCGAAAGAGCTTAAAGTAGCATCTGACATCATTGATAGACGATTATCTAAATTCCAAACTAGTTTGCAACTTAACAATAGGTTTATCACTCTTCCATTTAAAGTGCCATAGTCTCAGCACAGCAGGGAAACCATATTTTACATGCATTATAATTGCATTGCAATTGTTGACCTTAGTTGATGTATTCAATTGAAAAAACATCTGGTAATAGTGAATAATTAACATGCATATTTTTCAGGTCTCTGTTGGCAACAGATCTGCCAATACTAGTCTTCAGATGCCTGTGGTGAATCCATCTGCCAATGCCAGTTTTCAAACATCAGGACAGAACAGAACTGTCTCTACTACCAATAGTATTCAAGTGCCTGTAGCCTTTCAACTCGCTAATACCAGTTTGGCTGCCGTAAATCCATCTACCAGTGTTCGTGTGCCAGTTGTGATCCCATCTGCTGGTGTTGGTGTGCCAGGACTCGACCCATCAGCCAGTGTGCTAAGAGTGAACCCATCGACCAGTGTTAATTTGCCCAGAGGAAACTCATCTGCCAGCGTTAATTTGCCCAGAGGAAACTCATCTGCCAGCATTACGTTGCCAGGAGGGAACTCATTTCCCAGTGTTAGTATGCCAGGAGTGAATCCATCTGCTGCAATCACATTGCCAGGAGAGAACCCATCTACCAGTTTTAGTTTGCCTAGAGTAAACCCATCTGCCAGTGTCAGCATGCCAGGAGTGAATCCATCTGCCAGTGTCGGTGTGCTTGGAGTAAACCCATCTGCTAGAATTACTGTGCCAGGACTGAACCCATTTTCAAATGTTACTTTGCCAGGAGTGAACCCATCTGCTGGTGTTAGTTGGGCAGCAGTGAATCCATATTCCAGTGTCAGTTTGCCAGGAGCAAACATATCTGCCAGTATTAGTTTTCCAGGAGTGAATCCGTCTCGAATTGTTACTTTGCCAGGATTGAATCCTTCTCCAATTGCTACTTTGCCAGGAGTGAATCCTTCTCCAATTGCTACTTTGCCAGGAGTGAATTCCTTGTCTAGTGTTACTTTGGCAGGAGTGAATCCTTCTCCAATTGCTACTTCGGCAGGAGTGAATCCTTCTCCAATTGCTACTTTGGCAGGAGTGAATCCTTCTCCAATTGCTACTTTGGCAGGAGTGAATCCTTCTCCAATTGCTACTTTGCCAGGAGTGAATTCCTTGTCTAGTGTTACTTTGGCAGGAGTGAATCCTTCTCCAAGTGTTACTTTGTCAAGAGTGAATCCTTCTCCAAGTTTTACTTTGCCAGGAGTAAATCCTTCTCCAATTGTTACTTTGCCAGGAGTGAATTCCATGTCTAGTGTTACTTTGGCAGGAGTGAATCCTTCTCCAAGTGTTACTTTGTCAAGAGTGAATTCTTCTCCAAGTTTTACTTTGCCAGGAGTGAATCCTTCTCCAATTGTTACTTTGCCAGGAGTGAATTCCTTGTCTAGTGTTACTTTGGCAGGAGTGAATCCTTCTCCAAGTGTTACTTTGTCAGGAGTGAATCTTTCTCCAAGTTTTACTTTGCCAGGAGTGAATCCTTCTCCAATTGCTACTTTGCCATTAGTTAATACTACATCTGCGGTTACATTGCCAGGAGTGAATCCTTCTCCCCATGTTACTTTGCCAGAAGTGAACCCACCTGGCAATGCCAGTTCACAGGCACAGACAGAAAACCAGTCTGCCAACTCTAATATCAGTCTTCTACAAACATCATTCCAGTCACCAAGTGATTTCAAACAAGTGAATTCATCAAAGAAGGTTTTATCTCCTGAAAGGGACGATGAAGCAGAGGTGAGTCACAAAACACTGCCACTATCACTATCATCACTACCATCTCGTAACTACTGCCACTATCATAACTGCCATCTCATAACAACTATCACAGCCATCTCATACATGTATCCACTGTCTCTATTGTCAATGCCATCGTGCACTGCCTACATGTATTTGTATCTATATCTAATTTAAATATACTTTGATTCATTACAGTGCTGCCCCATATGTTTTGAAAACTGGACCAATTCAGGAGCTCATCGTCTAGCTTCCTTAAAATGTGGACACCTTTTTGGACAAAGGTTTGTTAAATACTTTAGTGGCCTGATATCTAACATCACGTGGCAGTGAGGTTGAAATCTAGGTGACTGGCTACTGAGGGTATACAAGCATCTTCTGTCTTCATCATTACTCAACCAATCAGAAATGTTTTACTTCTAAATAGATGTAGTGCAACACTTTATAATTAAAGAACATGTATTCTGATTGGCTATTGCGAAATTGTGAGTGTACATGTACCAGTATGTGTGGCTTTCACAAAAAACCAAAACATTAGTGGGAAAAATTGTTTTAATCAGTTTTTAAAAGTCTGTATCTATTGAATTCAAATCTTTTTCCATCCCCCAGCTGTATTATGAAGTGGTTGAAAGGTCGGGGTGGAAAATGTCCACAGTGCAATGCAAAATCAAAAAAATCTGAAATCAGAGTGATCTATGCTAAAGCAGTGAGAACAATGGACACAGCAGAAAGAGACAGGGCGTTGAAGGATTTGGAGATGGAAAAAGAAGTGAGACGGAAATCTGAACTTGAAGCAGCACAGCTAAAGATGCAGTATCAGTTAGCTATGGACGAATGCAATAGACTGAAAGCACAGTTACATTCACAGGACAGAGTGGGAATGTAAGTATAGACTGAAAGCACAGTTACAATCACAGGACAGACTATGTACATTACAAATATGTTCAAGTTCATGGAGAAAGCACTTTGAATTCAACACTGGTGTTGAGACAGCCACACTAATCTTTATGATGTGATGTGATGCGATATGACTGTTGCAATCTTGCGATTGGCAGACTTGTGGCGAGGAGTGCAGACCCATTAACCTTGACTTTATTTCTAAACTACTGTTATTGTTTCAGGGCGGGTCCATCTACGTACACTGGTGCATCATGTAGTGGTATTAGTAGCAGCAGTCAGCCATCACATAAGGGAGGAGCCTATAAATTGGATAAAACTATACACATATCTCCAGTAAGTAGTTGTCACATCTTTGAGTCATGACTGTGTGTAAGGGACGACGTCAAAAGATCGATGTCGGATAAAAAACTTACTGACCTCAAAAAGTTTCCATCCTACAAAAACGATTTTATTTTTTAATGAAGTCAAAAAAATTTTGGAGTATTTGTAGTTCGTTTTTATTCTATCCAATCATGGACAGAAATAACCGAAAAGGGAAAAAAACCCCAGAAAAATGGTTTGGTTCGAGTGTAAATCTGTGCGTCAAATGAGGTGCATTTGTAAAATCTTTTTACACCCACCCGACAACCAACGTCTATGCAATACTACTGTCCGATTATCAATTTGTATTTAATGGTAAATGTAGTCTGACGCCATGACCAATATTTATCAATTAAGTTTCAGTGGGGGGTAGGGGGGTTTGGAAAAAAACTAAAGGAATTAAGTTTTTTATCCGACATCGATCTTTTGACGTCGTCCCTAATCTCAGCACAACTTTGACCTAATTCTTTACTATTTCATATTTTTGTAGAATGGTGGTTGTCGTGTTATGGCTTATAACCCTACCCAGTATGCACTTGTCCTTTCTATGCCGTCTCCAAATCAGCTGTTTCCAGGTCATGGCATCAAAAAGGTTTGTCATATAAAGTTTTAAGCATGAAAGTCATATTTTAATGATCCTATCTACATGTACAAATACATTTGTGTTTTTGAGTCCATTTTATTGGAAATGTGCTTGCAAAAAAGCGAATCTGGTAAATTAAATAATTTTTATTCTTCCTTGACTGATAGGGATTTTGTCATGCTTAGCCACAGAAATGCCATGCTTGAACATTCAAAAGACAACTTACATATGCAAATTTGTTATTATGCAAATTAACCACTGCTTGGACCCATCACTAATATTGAGAATTGCACTGTGTAATTTTTTGTTATTTTCAGCTGAGTATGATGGATATGAAAAGTAACCAGTATGTGACAATTCATAGCAAAATGTTGAGAGATTGCTGTTTTAATAATCGCCAAGATGGTTTGTTACTTACTGCTTCTGTGGATAAAACTATTAAGATTACAAGTCTTCTTAGCAATACAGTTGTACAAACGTAAGTCGTAATATCTTATATATTACAAGCACATTTTTAGTCCCCATTTCAGGCACAGCCTGAAAGGTGACTATTAATTCTTATTTCAATTTCCCGTCTGTGACGTCTCTAACATTTTCTCAGAAATTCTGCAGCAGATATCGATGAAACTTGACAGGTTGATGACAGGCCGATTATGCACGTAATTTTTTTTGCCAGATCTGAGAATCCTAATTGGGTCTTTTCCATGATTTTCATCCAAAACTACCTCTCCCTACTGCACTGAGAGAACAACTGAGCATGCTCAGAATAAATAATTAGCTTAGATTGTAATGCTAGGATTTTAGTGATGTCATGACCTTGATCTGAATCGTACCATTACCAATCTCAATAGAAAATGTAGAGGGGTGTCAGGACTACATTTTGATGGGAATTATAGTGGTGATACTGAAACAAACCCAGGTCCTGGTAATATACAAAGACCTGAATTAACAAAGAAGTCAAGTTGTTATTAAAGGTACATCAAGGTTTACTTAGATTTATGAATGCAGTTTCTTGAGCATGTATGAGACATAGTTTGGTTGCACTTGTGTACTCTGAGATTTTGGACCCGGGTCGATGAAAGTTTCCAGTTATCAGATTAAGGGAAATCACTTTATGATGAGTTGTACCCGCATAGAGTACATATTAATTCAATTGTTTGCAGATGTTCCATGTATTATTTTAACATGAGGATTTTATAATTAAATAACGTAGACTGTGACATTCATGTCTTATTTATGTAATACTGTATTAGGAGATACCTTGTCTTGTTTTAGAGGGTAATATTTTTCAGCTACAATACATTGTCCAGGGCAATGTTTTTTTTATCACATTTTCAATTCCTTATATCCTAAAAACAATAGTCGTGACAAGGCTTGCAAGATATCAATGATATTATCGTCAGTATTCTGTTGATACATATATTAAACACAATTGGATCTTGATGCAGCTATTTTGTTTTAAAGAATGCAGTTCTGGATCCATATATCAGACATGCCTAACCCAATAAAGTTTAAACTTCACACTTACATCAAACATCTTATCAAACAAATGCATATGCGAAATGTCTGAATGGCTGACTTGAACTCATCTTGTTTAAATTAATGCAGTTCCACAAAGCCATGTGTCAATCATGCCTGGATTAATCAAACTTCACACATGCATCACATATCAAGTTATACATCTTGCACCTATAATACATACAAAGACTACTGTAAAGGGGGTAATTATTCACTGGGTTTTAATTTAGCTTATTTCGCTGACTGGAAAAATGCGCTAAATTAAAACACAGTGAATATGTAAAATTTAGCATAGAACACATTATCTAAATGACGAAACCGTGAATTTAAAACCCACTGAATATGCCCGAAATGGTAAATCAGTGAAATTTAAACCCAGTGAAAATTAGTCATTTTACAGTATGTCATTGACAGTGACTTGTTTTTACCAGATATGCCTGTCAAGTACCTGTATGGAGTTGTGCATGGAACTTGGATGATACAAACTATGTATACGCTGGCTTGCAGAACGGGAGCATAGTCATGTATGACACAAGAAATACTTTAACACAAGTAGCTCAGTTTAACAGAGATGGTTCTCGATGTCCAATTGTGTCTTTACAATACGTTGAGAATGACATCAACTCATCATTCAAGTAAGTTCGGCAGTCGTCGCGCCGCATTCTCTTTGATATGGGACTGATAGCAACGTATACAGCGCGTGTAAAAAACATTGTTTATTTATATGAAATTCGAACACGCACTGCGCGACGACCACCACGCTTTAAGGTCATATTCTGGGCAATGTTCAAATACACTTTATAAGAATGCAGAATGCAAGAGATATCTGTAGACTTTATGGTGAATTGATCAATGGTGACCACCATTCATCTCCTATCTTGCCTTGAATTAATCAATTTGATTGTTGATTTAATTCTTATAAAAGAAACCTTAACACTATAACAACTTGTATGCTCATTTATTATATCCTGTGTCACAAAAGTTATATGTTTTTCACTTAAGCCCTTGATAAATAAAAATTTATCCTCACAAGGATTTGACTGTGATCCTGATCTTTTCACTGTGTATTAGGGCGTGTGGTTTGCTGACAGGCTCGTTGGAAGGTGTTCAATTCTGGGAGAAGAAAGCTGCAGCTGAATATAAACCCCATATCCTGCCACTGGAAGGTATGAATCATATCGTCAGCTTCACATCTGCTGTGAATTTTAAGCTTAAAGGCCCAGGTATACTGTATTTATCCGGGTATAAGCCCAGGGTCCTGAACATTGAAAATCGCCAAAATGAAGGGGTGGGCGTTTGTCCGGATATCCCCGGCAAAAAAACAAAAAATCGCGAAAATTGGCAACACGCAGATCGAACTGCGACAAGGGGTAAAACGACAAATAAAAACATGCAACAAAAATAAATGAACAATATGCAGCATTAGAAGGGTACCAAGAAATAATTTATTGGTTAGAATGTGACAAATATTAAAACCAGAAATAATAAAAATCGACAAACACGCCGCCCCATACAGGTTTTTTTCCAACGACAGAAGAATAATTTCCATAAAATGCAATAGCTGTGGTGAAACATGGTAAAAAAGTTGGCAGTCTTCGGCGTGACATTGCAAAATTGCTGGCCCCAGTTATGGATTCGCAAATATTTTATAAAGCCAAAACAACGTGCTTTAAACCACTCTCCCAGGTACGGGTTGCTACAATATTGCAACATTAGTTTCATTGTCGGCGACGCTAAAGCCGAACGAGTGCGACACTTGCTTCGGGGCTCTCTATATACTGTAAGATTTGCTTGAATCGTTTCTATAAGGAAACACAAACCTAACGGCCCTTTTCAGGGCCACGACGTATTTCAAAAAAAGAACTACCGTTTCTCCTTTAATATAACATTTTTTTGACTCGCTGGCTGTTATGTTTCTGATAAAAAATCTTGAAAAAATAAATGTAAACTACGTAAACAGTGGTGAACACACTGCTCTATTTATGTCACAGTTATTTCGCGTTCACTCCTTGTTTTACGCAATTGACATTTATTTTTTAAAATTTGGTTATCAGAATCACAACAGACTGCAAGGAAGTAAACTGTTAATACAACGAATAAAAATAGTTTTTTTTTTTAAATTTTATTACAGGTGTAGAAAAAACACCCCTGGGTGTTTGCTAGGATATGACCTCAACTCCTTTATTTTATCAAAAGTGGGGGGGTGGGCGTTTGTCCGGGCATGGGCTCTTAGCCGGATAAATACGGTACTATAAATACGCTCCTAAACAATAGGGATTATTTCCTTGGTTGTCATGCTGTAGTAAACAGCTCCAGCCAAGCTCCAAACTTACAGGTCGATTATGTCGTGCCAAAGTGGATGCATGTGACTATGAATATCACAGCAGTGACTGTGTAGTATTTATGACGATAAATAGTGTACGAGCTGAGATTTTGGCGGATAAAAGCCAAAAACACGAACCGGGGAAAGAGACGCGCTACTAATCTTGAATAATTAACTACTGTCAATCAAAGTCATGTGATGTTGGACTGCAAGTGATTAACAACACTCATTAGCATAGCCACACCTCCACTTCACACTGGGCCTTTAACTACTTTCCTTAAGACCTACATATATGGCTGCTTTATGATGCAGGGACAGAAAAAGAGATTTTTCATATCATAGAGTCTATGAATCGTTATCATAAGCATGGCTTCTTCACAATCACGTTGTACTAACTACAAATCCTCACCCCTGCCCCTGGCTCTTAGTAAGTTTCTGGGGATGCAAATTTACTTTCAATGAGAGTTCCTAATTTTACTTCTCTCCCCTCCCAAATCCAACGAGCTGATCAAGTTCAAAAACAGTTAAACATGACAAAAATACCTCTAGATATTACCAGGATTTGTAACTTTTCAAAGTTCATGGTTGAGGTATATTATTAAAATGAATGAAAACTTTAAAAATCAAGAATGTACTTGTATTGTCGTGGTTATGATTGTATTTTTCAGGTAGTTGTACGTATGTTTCATTTGAACGCACAACCAGACACTGTATGGCATCATTCAGGCCAAATAAAAACCATCCATTCATCAAACATCTGGTAAGTAATATAATACTGATTTATTACCACTCAGTACTGTAAAATGCTGGCCGATTTTGAATCTTTCCTGTATGTGCCATCTCAGACTGCTTGAGCAGAGCTGCTGAATGGAATACTGTGACAGCAGTTTGTGTTTTTTGTGTTCAAGTGGTTTCAGGTATTTCACAAAATACCATACATAATACTGTAAAATCTGTATTAGAAGCTGTGGCTTCTATTAAAATGGTAGAATGCAACACAGGGGATGTGGTTTCTATTAGAGCATCTACACATATGAGAAATGATGAATTTTTGGTACTCAATTATTCAAAAAAAATGAGTGCGACTTCTATTGGGGATGCGGTTTCTAATGCAGCATAGTACTGTAGATCAACAAATGTGCAATTTCATCCCAAATCATCTATGTTGTACGTCAATTTGTTACCAGTATTCAATAGAACAGTTCTATATGGATTCATCTTTATAGGGCAGGGAATAAGAAAATATCGCTGACTTTCGATTTCACTTGCATACAGACTTTATCTGAGCTTTCTTGAAGTTATATATATTCTATGTTTGATTGTAGATGTGCGAGTTACAAAGTAGGAGTGGTGATTGTATCAGCTCGTCAACGTGTTCCTCTAATACAGTACAGACATTCTACGGGGGCTCCACTATGAAATTACTGACACGGTCAAGACTGTTTGCCAGTCCTCTTGGGAGTGGTCAGGTGTTGGCATGTGCAGGGGATGAGTCAAGTTTATCTGTAAGTTTATCAAACATGCTAGTGTGTGAGGGTGTGAGGACATCTCAGAAAGGATTGCTAATTGTCAGATTGTTAGTTCATGGACACTGCCAATATGGCAGGATTCTGACCTTTTCACCACCAAATTTTTTGGCACTTTTTTTAGTCCCCGTTCGGACGCAGTCCGAAAACGGGGACTTATGTTTTGCCCTGTGTGCGTCCGTCCGTCCGTCCGTCCGTCCGTCCGTGATCACCTGTATCTCGAACATGCATGGACCGATTATATTCAAACTTCACTCATGCATCACACATTATATGGGACATATGCACATGCATTTTTTTCATGATCCGATTAACGATAGCCGAATAGCGGCCATTTTAAGGCCGAAAATGCATCAAAATCGCACATTTTCACCATTCCGGACCCGGATCTCAGTTATGCATGGACGGATTTCATTCAAATTTGGTACATACATTAAACATAATAGGACCTTGATGCACGTCATTTTTTTTTTTTGGATCGGGTTCGAAATGGCCGACTGGCGGCCATTTTGTTTTAAAGAATTCAGTTCTGGATCCGTATCTGAGACATGCTTGGATTGATCGAGTTCAAACTTCACACACACAAGGTACATCATGTCACAAATATGTATGTGCATTTGTTTCATGATCTCATTAACGATAGCCAAATGGCGGCCGCTTTAAGGCCGAAAATGCATTGAAATCGCACATTTTCACCATTCCGGACCCGGATCTCAGTTATGCATGGACGGATTTCATTCAAATTTGGTACATACATTAAACATAATAGGACCTTGATGCACGTCATTTTTTTTTTTGGATCGGGTTCGAAATGGCCGACTGGCGGCCATTTTGTTTTAAAGAATTCAGTTCTGGATCCGTATCTGAGACATGCTTGGATGATCGAG